ACCCAAGCATCATGTATTTTTTTTTTTACCCAAAATTAAAATTATGTTGCAAAATTGGTCGTTACGCCAAGCGTACTTGAGGCGTACGCTTAGAGTAACTCATTAAAGTGGACCGCGAGTGTATGTGAGTATGCTCAATATACTCATGCTTATGTTCGGCGTACGTGGATGGTGTGAAAACCCTAATTTCTTTAGGGTTTGAGCATTATTTAAACATGCTTATCCCCTAAAACCCTTTCCTCCATCAGCCTCCATCTCCCAAAAACGTCCCTTGCGAAACCTAATCCATTGTGTGAACCTTATTGAGCTTGAGATTGTATTTTTGTGCTCTTGAAGGAAAAAGAAGGAAGTGAAATCTTCTTGGAAGCTCAAGGCAACTTAGATCCAGAAGTATCTCACCCTCATGCATCATTTGAAGGTATAAAGCTTGGAACTTGATGAATCTTTTCCTTGGATCTTGCCAGTTCTTAGGTTTTGTGTATTTTGGTCCCATAATCTTGGTGTTCATGAGGATGGCTTACTCTAAACCATAAGAGTTGTCCTTTCAGACATTTTAGAGTGCTAGGGACCATAAAACTATGATCTTGGTCCTTTTCTTCCCTACATGCAAGAGTTATGATGCTTTGGTTTGCGTTTTAAGTTATGGGTTTTGATTTTTGGACCATTACTAGTCATGGAAATTCATAATGTCGGAATTTTTATGATTAGTGTAACGCTTGGTCTAGGTATTATTCATTTCTCAATATTTTAAGGATTTGGGTTTTTTTTAATAAATTATTCGCTACAAACGGATTTTTTTAGTGAACGCGCTTCGCTTTATAAAAGAGAGAGAGCCTTGTCTTGAGAGTGAAAAGAAAGGTCAAGCGGCCTAGAGAGGGGAACAAGGTTGGAATGAAGCTGTTGATGGATTCAGAGACCATGTGACTAAATGGAATAAGGAAGTGTTTTCGACAAGTTGGGGAGCTTCAACTCGTCTTGTAGAAATCTTTTTGGCCGCGGAGTTTAAGGATGAAACACCCCAAAAACATGGTCCAAAAATTTCGTTTTGGAAAAATTATTACAAAACTGTAAGTCATCCATAACCATAAAGAAAACCATACATCATGTATCTCAAAACATCAAATCAAGTATTGTGACAAAACACATGATAAAATATTAGAGTAACAAAACAATCCTAGGCTGAATGCGGTAGGGTGTGCCATGCGATCACCCTAAGCCCTTCCTTTTTCTCCCGGAATTACCTGAAACCAAAACTGAAACTATAAGCACGAAGCTTAGTGTGTCTCCCCAAACTACCACATATCATACAAATATCATGCAACTAGGAGATATGGGCCCCTCCTACTCTCATGGAGATTCGGGCCCCGCCCACACTCCACTATCTAGGAGATTCGGGCCCCGCCCACACTCCACTGTCTAGGAGATTCGGGCCCAGCCCACACTCCGCTGTCTAGGAGATTCGGGCCCCGCCCACACTCTGCTGGCTAGGAGATTCGGACCCCGCCCACCACTACAAGAAAAAGACCCTTTTACAACGTGCAAACCACGACACTCAGTGATTTATGTTATGCAAAGGAGAGTGACATTAAAAGAGTGTCGTCTATTCAAAAAATTTAAGGATTTAGGTCACGCATTATTGCGTGCCCTTAAATAGTGTCTCATGTAAAAAAATTAAAAACACGGAGGGCACTCGTGCGTACTCTGTGAATGTCGTTTTATATTTTTTTTAAGAAACACGCGTCTCTAAGAGGGAAAATGAAATCCCCAAATTTTTTAAACACCCGCCTTCTTCTCCTACATTCATTTCCATATGACTCTCATATCTACCCTACATTGTCTCCACCTCTCACCCACATCCACTGCCTCACAAAAATTTCACAAGCTAACGATTCCAGAGCCTACTAGCGATTGGGGGTTATTTTCACATCTGCTCTACTTCTCATCGTCCATCTACTTCTGCCCTAGATCCGACGATTGAATAGTACAAATATGTGTAGGGTTTTACTTTATTTTAAGCTTCCACTTCTCCTGTTTTCGTGGTGATCGACCGGTGGTGAAACGATTCAGCGCCAAAAAAAGAAGCGGCTCTCCATTCTCTTCTCGATTGAGATTTCTAAGGATTTACGTCGGTATCTCAAACGAATTCAACTCTTTTCACAGATTTCTTCCCATCTGATTTTATGATTTCAGATTTCTTATTGGCGACTCAATTCCTCTCCCGTCGAGTTCGAAATTTTCACTCAAGGAAGTAATGGCAGCTGAAGATGATGAAGGGCCTTCAATGGTGCTTTGTTTATTACACTATGGTAGCGGAGATGACGATGTTGTTGATAGCCCTAAACAATAGTCATCTTAAAAGAAATTATCAAAGAGAAAGGTACGTATCAGTTCTAGTGTTCTTATATAAAATTAGGTCATCTGTGCCCTTCTTATATACAATTAATGAAATCGATTTTAAAAGCGAGCCATAATATCGATTTTGTAATCGAGCCTATTCCGGTAATATTCATGTTTGTAGAATTCGATTATTCTGGTTTTGCCCTAAGCATCGCCTCGACAGAAATGGAAGAACAAAGTGATTCGCTAAATTTGTTTTTCAGTTCGTATTAATCGCTAATTTTGTCCCAATCGCTTCCAATTCAATGTACTTGATTGTGAATGTATTTGATAATATCGATTGTTGAATTGGGACCTTATGGTTCTTCATTGTTGTTCTATTATCAATTGTTGATCTGTTTTCCATATGAAAACTAAATCTATTAACAATGGAGTTGTGAATCAATTTGACTATGAAAACATGATTCTTTAACATGCTTGTTAGATGTTTGTTGAAATGTTTGAATACAATTGTTCAATTTCTAATGAAAGCTTACCGTCATTCTTTCTCTTCTAATTTCTGATTTTATTTTTCTGAATAGCAGTAACATCAATCGAGATTAGTGGAAATTGGTTTTTATTTTTTATAGTTGATACTTGAGAAAACCTTATATGTTTTTTTTTATTTTGTGAAAATTAATTCCAGGTGAAAACAGAAAATGGTATGTTGTGTTAGAAAATGACAATCATACCCCTGGTCACAGTAGTCTCATATCATTATTCCATTCTCACCTTCACTCCAATGCCCATTATTAGAAGAAATCAATGAGCTCCTTGCCACCTGCTGTTGCTGGAAGTTGGTCTGATAATGAGATGAAAGATGATTGTTACCAACCATCCTTGAAGGATTTGCAGCATAAAGTTTCTCTTGGTCATGCCATACACTGTTATATAGTTCATGGTTTTGCATAAAGTGAAAACTTTTGCTTCTAGGTCATCCAAATGTACAATGTGATTTTTTATAACATCAGGTACAAATGTAGATTTTTCATAACATTAGTGAAAATCTTAATCAGTTGAATGTGTGTTTCAGAACATCAGGTACAAATGTACAATGTGATTTTTTTATTCAATTACAGAGTAATCTTATTCCAAAAGGCCATAAAGTTCTTATCTTTTCCGAGAGTTGCATAATGCTTGATATTATTCAGGTTTGTTTCAATGCCTAATGTTGGATAGAAAAAATGATGGCATACTTGGAGAAATGGAAGTAAAAAATAAACAAGGGCATAATTTAAATTTTTTTTGGACTTAATAGGGAAAGCCTAATTTCCCTTACTTTCCCTATTAGATCCCTTTTTCTAAATTAAGTCAAAAAGAAACATGCATATATAGCTAACCAGATAAAGTCTTGTCCCCACTAAGTCCATTAAGTAAAAAAGAAACAAATTCTAATTAGTTACTTATGATCATCTCATTATTAGATAAACATGATACCTGGCTTTCAGTCAAAGTTAAATTAACCATTTTATTGATATTTGTTATCTTAGGGATTCATCTCTTGAAGCTTACATAAAGTTTTTAGAATCTCTTTGTATTGTTGGTATTAGTCACCATAGTTTGTTGTTCTCCAAGATTGCTCCAGTGCCAGTCATGCAACATTTTGAACTGAGAAGGTGAGACCCCTAACAGCTTTCAAGGGCATTATGGGGCTTCTAGATTCAAGGGCATTAAGGGATTTTCTAATATGTGCCCTAGGGCACATATAAGAAAATGTAATTATGGAAACTAATTGTATTCGAACTAAACTTATTAATTCTCTAGACTTCCTGCTGGGAAGGATGAATTTATCGGTGTTCAAATATTGTGACCTAATTAGTTATTCTAATCACATGGATATCTTCGTTTTGACGATGAAATTAAGAGATACATGGATTTGGGAATTTTTAACCTAATTGATACTTGATAGGACTTAGGAGTATCAACTATTATATGCTAAACATTATACATTTATGAGTATTTTGTTTCCTGGCTAAAGCTAACTAAATTGGCTATGTTTCTTGTTCTTTTTCTTAACCAAATTTTATCAACTTTGTGAATATTATTCTGACTTGTTTTGATATTTATTTTTGATATTTTGTTCTTAATTTTGGTTCTAACTTCTATTTTTTTTCTTTTTTTTTTAAAACTGTTACAAGGGACCTGAATAGGGGTTTTCTGAATTTGTAGTGATGGCTGCAGACACTGAAGATTTTGAAATAATTTCCCATATTCCATTCCTTACTAAATATAAGGTATGTTTCTAATATTTTTGTTCCTTCAAAAGAAGAATTGGGGAGAGCATGTGGAGTTAAAAAACCGGTGCTTTCATGTTTGTTGACCAGCATTGAAAGAAGTCAACTAAGATCCCAAATCCAACAACTCAAGGTTTACTTTATTATCTTCTCATAATATTTAATCTAATTACAAACTATCAGATCAATGTTTTTTCTGCAATTGCTTCTTTTACATTGTCTTCTACTAGTTACTTTTCTGCTACTGTTTAGCATGATACAACCAAGGATTGTATTATGTTGAAGATTATTCGTGTTCCCCCCCCCCCCCCCCTGTTATTCCTAGCAATCAAGTGAAAGCAAACTCCTCAACATGGGAGGCATCGGATGAGACATTAAACAACATTGACCATGAAGCAATGGCCTGTTGACCTTGCACTTGTATTAACCATCCAGGTTAGCAGTTGTCATTAAAACGATGATGCTTATTATTGTGGTAAAATGTTTTGGTTTAACTTTACTGAATTATTATTATTCAGGTTATGTTGACTGACTTTGGGGTAGCAAAGAAAATTTGATGAAAGCACAAGGTTAAATTCCATGTGTGGGACATTAGAATATATGACACCTGAAATTGTACAAGGGAGGGGCCATCATAACGCTGCTGATTGGTGGAGTGTTGGAATTTTAATGTATGAAATGCTTACTGGAAAGGTTGGTGTGTTGTCACCCTTAATTACTTTTAATAAATCACTATTAAATTCCCCTTACTTTTAGCCTGAAGGTAATAATGTAATTTTGTTCGACATTGTATCTTTGCAGCCTTCGTTTAGAGGTGGAAACAGACAGAAGATTCAGGAGAAAATAGTGAAGGACAAGATAAAGCTTCCAGGATTCTTGTCAAGTGAAGCACATTCGCTTTTGAAAGGGGTAATGTTGTAATTTGTAATACTATGTGCATGTGTTATAGTTGTTGGTTAATATTATATGCATGGGAATACAACAATTTCTGTTTTGAGCTTTTCACCTGATGGAAAGGTACAACCGTTCGTGCTATTTTAATACATGATGAAACAGAAACACTACAAGTTTTTCAATTAATTTTTAATATATATATATATATATATATATATATATATATATATATATATATATATATATATATATATATATATATATATATATATATATATGGTAGGGGTTGATAGCTTTCACTTAGCTTGGTTGAATGATAAGATGGTGGTCATTGGGATCCATGTGATCAGAATTTCCCTGGTGCTCCAACATTTTTGCCAGGTAAACCCATCTGGCCAGACCTCTGTATTGCCTCCTACAAGGTCTATTACTTATTATTATGATTTACGATTCTGAGGGTATTTAGGTCATTTACTCAGAATTTTGCGTTTTCAACTTTACAGGTAGATCACACTTGCTTGGGTAAACGTTATATAGTATGCTTTCAAACTTGTCTTCTTCCTGAATTCTTTTTCTTTGTAAGTTTAGCCTTATTCTTTTCTTCAATTAAGTATTGTCTGGAGAGTGTTGTATGAACAACAATAAATCAACATTTTTTCCCTTCTTTTTCTTGTATGAACAATACATAGTCATAGTTTGACTTAATTAGTTGCTTATTTTGTTTATTAGTTGCTTGTTTTCTAGCTTATTATAGTCACTGATTGGTTTCTTGTTATGCTTAAATCTTAACAGTTATCATGGAAACCTTCAACAGTAGTTTTGGACCGGCACCTTCTTGCAAAAGATATCGTGTACGTGTTCTAGCTTCTGTTGCTATTGTGGATTCGGGAACATCCTTGCTTACTAGTCCAACTGTATGTATCTCACGTGAAGCTTCTGTTAGAATTATTAATCTTAGAGATTTCAAGTTTTTCATATTTCTTGTATCTAATTAGTTTGTAAATTTCCGTTACAACTTTTATTGATTTGTTTTTTCTTTCCATGGAACGATTATTTGTATGACATTATATTTTGTGCAATTGATTGTATTTTTGTATATGATATTTTATTTATTAAGAGACATTAAATGAAAATTTAATTTGAAAATTAATAAATCTATAAATAATATTTTTTTTAAACATATAAAATTACGATACGCAAAATGTGTGTCATCGTCATTTATGACATGGCCTTTCTTGACAGGTGCTTCCTTGATACGCAATGTGTGTCATAAACACGTGCGTCGTAAGGTTACGACACGCAAATGTGTGTCGTCTTCCTTTATGACAGGGCCTTTCTTGATACGCATTGCGCGTCGCAAATGCATATCGTAAATGCGCGTCATAAATGTGCGTCGTAAATGCGCGTCGTCTCTCTTTATGACAGGGCCTTCCTTGACGCGCATTTGCGCGTCGTCTGAGCATTTTACGACGTGCTATGAGCGTCGTAAAAGGCTGTTTTTCTAGTAGTGCACACTCTGTTACTAACATGCATACAAGTATCACACAGACAACAAGTATATCTAACATACATTCACATATCTATACTCAAGTAATACTAAAGAATCGCGCCCCGCCCATACTAGAGTGTTATGAGATTCGGGCCCCACCCATACTCAACTACTAACATATCATGTAGACGGGCCGACCTTAGTGCCTTCAACCTACCCCTACTTAAAGGAAACTCACCTCGTATGACTGACTGCTGAGAATCTGGGTGAGAAATCCCTATCTGCTGCTCCAATGACTCTTTGGCTAGAAATTCCATACTGACACTCAGTTAAAGACTGATAACTTTTCTTAGGGTAAAATGACCTGGTTAAAGTCAACATCCATGTCAAAGTCAACCTTCCCGGTTAACCAAACTCGCCGAGTCAGCCTTATGACTCGCCGAGTCCTAAAACTTAGAACCCTGGAATCACGACTCGACTTGCCAAGTCACCCTATGACTCGTCGAGTTCCCAAGCTATTTGCCACCCACGGTTTGTCAAACAGACTCGTCGAGTCTTCCTCAGACTCGCCGAGTCCCACCATAATCAGAAAAAAGGACAAGGTCCTGCTACTCGTTGAGTTCCTTAATCAACTCGCCGAGTCCTATGAACATCATCGAGGTTTCTTCATCGGACCCATTGAGTTCCTTTATGAACTCGTCAAGTCCCTTGCAGATTTAACGTAGTCTACTGGTTTCACACTTCTACAGCTCCAAAATACAGATCTAGGTCATTTCCAAGGTCCATTTCTATAAAGTTGGAGAATTGATGGCTTTACATACCTTAAATGGACCCAAACTCAAGTTATAGCAACCTACTTCCGTGAACATGGCCATGGCTTGCATGAAGACGGGTTCAAGACTCCTTTTATGACTCTAGAGGCTAAATATCTTAGGAAATAGGGATTTCTTAGCATGTAACCCATGAGAAGCAACTTATCCCACTCAAAAGGTCAAAAGACCCATAAATCAACATTAAAGGAAATCTAAGCTACGGGTTATCAAGCTAAGAGCTTTTTACCTCAAAAAGTTGCCAAAGATGAATGTGCTCCTGGATCTTGTTCTCCTTCCACAAGCTTGCTAGCTCCAAGCTCTTCCAACTATCTTTAATAACACAAAACACACTAAAAAAAGTCAAGGGTGATGCTCTCAAACGGATTAGGGTTTCTAGAAGGACATAGAGGCTAGTAAGAGAGGCCCAAAGGGGGGTTTAAGTGGTTTAAATAAGGTGCAAAACCATGAAAATAGGGTTTCCTCCTGGTAGACCTACTCGTCAAGTCCATGTTTAGACTCATTGAGTAGACCCTTTAAAACCTTAGTCCATACTGGCATCTACTTGGCGAGTTTGGGTTACCAACTCATCGAGTAGCTCAAATATGAAAACTTGATTAATTAAATAGTTGCGTACTAGGAACGGGGCATTACAAAGGATCCAACTCGACAAGTTAGGGATTCCCAACTCAAAAAGTTGATAGCCAAAGATGAAACCCTAATTTTAGCATGATGCACCGTATATAAAGGACTTAAACCCTTTTGGATGGCCTCCTTACTAGCCTCGCTATCTAGAAAACCCTAGATTCATGTTTCATCTTGCAAGCTTGTGTGTGGTAAGCTTAGAGAGTGGTTTTTGGTGATTCTTGAAAGGAGCTTGGAAGAGGGAAGCATCTAGCTTAGAGGAAGGACCTTAGATCCATAAACTCTTCTTCAAAGGAAACATTTTTGAGGTATAAAGTCGTCACCTTGTCATGTATTCATCTAGATCTCCTTATTTGAAGTTTAAGCATGATTTTAGGGTTTTGGTTTAGTTGTCCAAGAAGATGTGGATTCCAGGGGTTCTTAAGCGAGATTTGATCCCTTAATGATATCTATTGGCTTAAAGTTGCAAAGTTTATTGGTCCCTATGTCCTATTTATGCAATAAGACCCTTATTAAGTCATTAATGAGCCTTAGAGTGTGTTCTAGCATGCATGGACGTAAAGTTGGAGACTTTATGTGTTTTTCCAACATTGGGACATCAGATATGTGTTTTGGGATGTTGATATGGGAGTTTTAGGGATTAATGGGTCAGGACCCTCTTTAAAGAACCTAGGGTTTGAGTTTGACACCTTTTAGATGGTTTTTGAGGGTAAAGCTGGAAACTTTACCCTTTTGATATCATTTTGGAAGAGGTATGAGCTTTGGGGCCCTTGGATCCGTTGGAAGCAGCTTAATGCATTAAGAGGTTGGATTCCTGGCTAACTCGGCGAGTTTATTGGTGAACTCGACGAATTGATGGGATTTTTCGTGATCTGGTTAGACAATAGGGAAACTCGATAAGCTGAAGAGACAACTCGTCGAGTTGGGTCAACTCAGGACGTTGACTTTGACCTTTAACCTTGGTTTTTAACCAAGTTTGACCTTTATGCGTTTTGGAGCATGTTTAGTTGCAATTAAGGAAATTGTTTTTTTTAGGGTTGTGTAGAGCGGATATTGGAATCTCGACCTAGTCAGCTTCCGTGCAAGTATTGAGGTGAGTCTTCTTACCTCACTCATGGGTCGAAGGCACCAAGGCTGGCCCATTAATTGATATGATATATTTGTATTAAATGGGAAATGGTATGTTATTTGATTTATGTATGGGTTTATATGAAGACCATGGGGGAGCCCATGGCACTTTTCAAGACCATGGGGGGTGTTGAGTATTTTGTTGTTGTGTCATTGGGCTTTATATTTAGTCTGTTTTGTAAATGGGTTGGGTCGGTCGCCCCGTACTTAATTCTATGTTTAGAGTATATATGGTGCATGCATGCATCTTATTTTAGTTAACTCTTTGATTCATCTTGAAATCCTAGCACGCCTCTACAGTGAAAATTCTTCATCATGTTTAGTTGAGGCTTGACTATTAATCATTCGATATCTGTTTGATTATTACTATGTTATTGCTTACCTGTTTGAATCTTATCAATCTTTAAGATTTTAATCTCTTCAATTGGTATCAGAGTAGAAAATTATGTAATCTATACACATCTCTTCTGTTAAAAGAAGCTATTAGGGTTTCCGCTGATATTAGATCTTTTTCAGTCGTCATCTCTGTGTTCTTGACGCTGTTATTGGGATCTCAATATTACCCTATGTTTTTACATGTCTGATTCTGAAACAGGTTTTGAAGATCTTGTTAAAATGTCGCACAAAGAATCGCAAATAAATTCCATCAGTAGTATTGGATCTACAAGGATTCATATTCTCTTTTCCAGTGATTATGAAGTCTGGGCTCTTCACTTTGAAAATTATGTCCTGGGTTTAGAATTTAATGGTTACTTGATCTGGGCAACCATTACTACTGGAGCCTTCCATCACTATGGAACAATAAGGGTGATTAAAACTCATACATATCTCAATCGACTTCTTCTTGATGTCAAAGAAGTTCCTCAAGATGAGCGAGACAAGTTGCATAGCAACATCAAAGCAATGAGAATCATCAGATTCGCATTGCAAGCAGATACCTTTCGCCTTGTGAGTTCCTATGATACTGATAAAGCTATATGGGACAGACTTAAAGAGCTTTATTCAACAAACATAGATCTAGAGCATTCTACTCAAATGCTCATGTTTTATGAATTTGGTGCTTTCGCACAAAAGGCTGATGAAAATCTAAGTCAAACATTTAATCGCTACAATCATTTTCTGAGCAGGATGATAAAACACAGGATTGGAAGAGAAATCATTGAGCAGAAAGTGACATTCATGAATGGATTGAGGCCAGAGTGGATGGTGGTGGTTTCTACAGTGAAAGCTCACGAGCAATTTGGAAATTATACATTGGAAAAACTGGTAGGTATCTTGAATTCACATGAAAGTGAAGTGACTAAAGAAGCCAAAGTTGTATCTATCCTGGGTTCGTTGGCTCTAGTTGCAAAGGGGAAGCAAGTGGCCGAGGATGAAGCTAAGTCTAATATTTCTGACTGTGAACTCACAAATGAAGAGTTCGCTCTAATGGTGTTGAATCCTAGGAGATTTGCAAAGAAAAAGTTTCCCTCTAGCAAAAACCGAAACTGGCAAGGAAGATATAGTTTAGAAAAGGTGAAAGAAGATAAAGCGAATGACTTCCAGAATGAAGAAGATAAGAAAGAGAAAAAGCTTGCAGATGATTAAGGTTAAGATTGAAACTACTCTCATGGTAAGAATCATTTGGCAAAGGAATGCATGCTGAGGAGAATGAATGTGTAACAACGTAATTTTTTACCAAAATTTTCATTTTTAAAACACACATAAAACTCATATATTATATTTCAAGAAAATCATAAGTGTCTCAATGTCAACATAAATTCACAACAAAAGTTAATTCCCAGAACCCTCAA